GAATACTCCATATGTATTGGCACATAACAAAGCCACGAGGGTAATGCACTCTGACTGCATGGGGAAGGGATAATGGACACTCCATGACTGGTGTCCTCTTGGACTCAGCCCTACGCCTTTCTTCCCCTGGCTGGTTTTAATTTTTATCCTTTCCATGTAATCAAGCAATAACTATGAGTATAACAGCTTTCTGTGAGTTCCAGCCAATTCTTAGAGGTAAGCAAGCAGAGCTCATCTACCACCAAGCTGAAAAAACTATTTAAAAATTCCTAAAACAAAGAAGGCCAGAGCTCTCATGAATCTGACCCAACAGATTTTGAAGCTAAAGCTGAAGGCATTTGAGCCAAAGCCAGGCCAGACAGAGATGAGGCTCCTGGGAGGGAACAGGTGCAGTCCTGCTCAGGCTGCAGTGTCCCTGGGCTACAGCTGGAAAAGAGCTCCCTCTGGGTCACAGCTTCTAGGGACAGAGTTTGGGGCAGGTCAACTGTCTGATTTGTAAGGCTCTGGTGATGAGCTCAGCTGGGAAACTGTGTGGTGATGGGAAGAGAATGGTTTTGCTTTTCCAAATCATCTACCCCCTGCATGCTTGGATTCACATGGGAACTCAGTGTGGAAACTACCTTTGAACAGCCTAAGCCTGAATTCTGGGCCATGTGTGCAATTTCCTGGCCTCCAGCTTTGTTCAGTCCTTACCCTTACCCATCACTGATGCCAGATCCATCCTCCCAAATATCCTTTCACCATGTTACCCTCCCCACCACCTCATGGCACCTTCTACACAACAGGAAATGCCTCCCACCTCAGCTTGGCATTCAAGGTTCTTTCTGATGTGGCCCACCTCTCACCACCCTATGGCACCTTCTACACAACAGGAAATGTGTCCCACCTCAGCCTGGCATTCAAGGTTCTTTTGATGTGGCCCACCTCTCACCATCCCACCACATCTCCCTGTGGTCCTGCCTAATTGGATCAATTTTTCCTATCCATGAGCTGAACTTTCCCACCTCCATACTGTTGCTTACACTGTGAACTTCCTGTGCATGTTCTCTTCCTCCCTCTCCCCAAGTCCAAATGCTATAGACTGGATTGTGTTTCCCCAAAATTCTTATGTTGGAGCCCTAACCCCCTATGTAGTTGTATTTAAAAACAGGGCTCCTAGGAAGTAATTAAAGTGAAGTAAGTGGTGAGGGGCAGAGCAAGATGGCTGAATAGTAGTCTCTACCAATCAGTCCCCCTGCAGGAAAATAAAATTTAACAACCGTCTCCACCAGTAAACCATCTTCATAAGAACCAAAAATCAGGCGAGGACTCACAGTACCTGGGTTTAACTTCATGTCACTGAAAGAGGCACTGAAAAGGGTAGGAGAACCAGTCTTGAAACACCAATGTCACCCCTCCCCCTCACCCAGCAGTGGCCGCTGTGGTGCTGAGAATCTGTGCACCTGGGAGAGGGAGAAGGCAGCAACTGTGGGACTTTGCATTGAACTCAGTGCTGCTCTGTCACAGGAGAAAGCAAAACCAGGTGGAACTCACATGACACCTGCCCATGGAGGGAGCATTTAGACCAGCCCTACCCAGAGGGGTTCACCCATTTCAGTAGTTAGAAGGCTTGAGGCTTGCGTTTTGACAAGCCTTGGCATGGCAGGCTATTATGCTCTGGGGCCCTAAATAAACTTGAAAGGCAGTCTAGACCATAAGGACTTCAACTCCTAGGCAAGTTCCAATGCCATGCTGGGCTCAGAGCCAGTGGACTCAGGGGGCACAAGACCTAGAGAGACACCAGCCAGGGCAGCCAAGGGAGTGTTGCACCACTCCTCCCCCAACCCCAGGCAACACAGCTTGCACCAACTAAAGTGACTCCTTCCTTTTGCTTGAGGAGAGGAAGGGGAAGAGTAAAGAGGACTTTGTCTTACATTTTGGATAGCAGCTCAGCCACAGTAGGACAGAGCACCTGTCAGAGTTGAGAGGCCCCCATTCCAGGACCTAGCTCCTGAATTACCTTTCTAGATACACCCTGGGCTAGAAGGGAATCTGCTGCTCTAAAGGAAAGAACCCAGTCCTGGCAGGATTCAACACCTGCTGACTCAAAAGCCTTGGGCCCTGAATAGCCAACAGTGATACCCAGGTAGTATGCGATGGGCCTGGAGTAAGGCTCTGAGACATGCTGGCTTCAGGGGAGACCCAGCACATTCCCAGCTATGGTGGCTGTGGTGACAGACTTCTTCTGCTTGAGAAGAAGAAGTCTTGCAGCTTAGGTGCCTGCCTGGCCACAATGGGGTAGAGAGCACCAAATGGGCTCCTGTGGTCACTGATTCTAGGCCTTCACTCTTAGACAGCATTTCTGGACCTGCCCTGGGCCACAGGGGAGCCCACTGCCCTGAAGGGTGAGTCCCAGGCCTGGAAGCATTCACCACAAGTGACTTAAGAGCCCTTGGGCCCTAAGTAAACATCAACAGTAGCCTGGCAGCACTCCCTGTGGGCCTGTGGTGGTGGCCACAGGGTGAGGCTCCTCTGCCTGTGGAAAGGGAAAGGCAGAGTGGGAAGGACTTTGTCTCATGGTTTCAATGTCAGCTCAGCCGCCTTAGAATAAAGCACCAGGTAAATTTCTAAGGTTTTTGACTCCAGTCCTTGGCTCCCAGACAGCATCTCTGGACCCATCAGGGCCTGAGGAGAGCCCCAGAGCCTCAAGTGAACATAGGCGATAGCCAGGTAGTATTGACAGTGAGCTTTGAGTGAGACCCAGTGCTTTGCTGGCTTTAGGTCTGACCCAGTGCAGTCCCAGTGGTGGTGGCCACAGGGATATTGTGTCAGCCCACCCCCAGCTCCAAGTGGCCCATCAGAGAGAGAGAGAGAGAGAGAGAGAGAGAGAGAGGCAGAGACAGAGAGGCAGAGACAGAGACTGTTTTTTGGAGAGAAATTACAGGCAGAGAATAAGAGTCTCTACTGGCTGGTAGCTCAGAAAATTCCTCCAGATCTTGTCCAAGACCACCAAGGCAGTTCCTCTGTGAGTCTGCCAGAACCGTAGCGTAACTGGGCTTGGAGTGTCCCCTAAGAAAGATACAGTTTAGATCACAACACCCACATCCTTTCAAATACCTGGAAAGCCTTCCCAACGGTGGGTACAAACAAGCCCAGGCTGAGAAGATGGTGGCAGCTTGAAATCAGCCATGGAATATTTGAACCATGGAAAATGGCAAACACTACAGAACAGACTCTGTTCCCTCCCCGACAGAGAGCCCCTTGTGTAACAACAGCACAGCACTGCCGCATCCCTGAGCGGAGCGCTGTGTGTTGCAGCAGAGTGGGGGCGGGTGTCTTCTCCCTTGGGCTACAGAATACACATTTTTTTCCTCAGCACATGGATCATTCTCAAGGATAGACCATATCTTAGGTCACACGACACATCTTAAAATGTTAGAAAAAAATGAAATAATTTCAAACATCTTCTCTGATCACAATGGAGTAAAACTAGAAGTTAGTAATAAGAGAAATGTTGAAAACTATACAAACACATGGAGATTAAATAATATGCTCTGGAATGACCAGTGGGTCAGTGAAGAAATTAAGAAGGAAATTGAAACATTTCTTAAATGATAATGGAAACACAACACACCAGAACGTACGGGATATGACAAAAGCAGTGCTAAGAGGGAACTTTATGGCTATAAACACCTATTTTTAAAAAGTAGAAAAGCGTCGAATAAACAACCTAACAATGCATCTTAAAGAAATAGAAAAGCAAGAGCAAACCAAACCCAAAATTAGTAGAAGAAAAGAAATAGTAAAGATCAGAGCAGAAATAAATGGAATTGAAATGAAGAAAACAATAAAAAGCATCAATGAAATGAAAAGTTGGTTTTTGGAAAAGATAAACAACTTTGACAAACTTTAAGCCTAATTAAGACTAAGAAAAAAGAAGACTCAAGTGAATAAAATCAAAGATGAAAAAGGAAACATTACAACTGATACCACAAAAATTCACAGGATCACTAGTGGCTATTATAAGCAACTGTATGCAAGGCCAGGTATGGTGGCTCACACCTGTAATCCCAGCACTTTGGGAGGCTGAGGCGGGTGAATCACAAGGTCAGGAGTTCGAGACCAGCCTGACCAACATGGTGAAACCTGTCTCTACTAAAAATACAAAAAAATTAGCTGAGTGTAGTGGCACACACCTATAATCCCAGCTACTTGGGAGACTGAGGCAGGAGAATCACTTGAACCCAGGAGGTGGAGGTTGCAGTGAGCCGAGATCATGGCACTGCACTCTAGCCTGGGTGACAGAGCAAGACTCTGTCTCAAAAAAAAATAATAATAATAATAAGCAACTGTGTGCAAAGAAATAGGAAACCCTACTAAAAATGGATAAATTTGTAGACACATCCAGCCTGCCAAGATTGAACCCTGATGAAATCCAAAACCTGAACGGACCAATAAGAAATAATGAGATCAAAGCAGTAATAAAAAGTCTCCCAGCAAAGAAAAGCCTGGGACCTGATGCTTCACTGCTGAATTCTACCAAACATTTAAAGAAGAACTCATACCAACCTTACCCAAACTATTCCAAAACTAGAGACCTTACCCAACCATTCCAAACTCATTCTACAAGGCTAGCATTACCCTGATACCAAAACCAAAGATACATCCAAAACAGAGAACTACAGGCCAATATCACTGATGAATATTGATGCAAAAATCCTCCACAAAATATTAGCAAATTGAATTCATCAACACATTAAATTTGGGGTGCAGTGTCCCAGGTTCACTCAACCCTTCCCCTTTTTCTGTGTGTGTCTACTTTAGCTGTGCTCCCAGGTGGCAGTGGTGGTGGCAATGTTGGTGTATGGACCTCCCAGGACAAGGGGAGCCTGGCACCAACTCTGGCCAGGTCTTCAAGCAAGGGACCTGGAGATGTTCTTTTCCAATTTCCAGATTGGGAAAATGGAGGCAAATTCTGGGTACTAGAGTCAGAACTAAGATGAGGCTTGATCAGTGGTGTCTGGGGTCCTGAGAGGCAGAGACGTGAAACCCTCTAGTGTGTGGGGAGCTGGGTGTGTGTTCTGGCCGGTTGCTTCTCCTTGTGCCTCAACGTTCCAGGTACGCTTGGAGGGGCTGAGATCCTGGGGATGCCTGGAGCCTGGCTGCATGGCCTGGCCACCCTGATGCCCTTGTGTTCTCCATGGCAGACCAGCAAGACTGAGGAGAATGGCTCCGACAGCTTCATACACTCCATGGACCCACAGCTGGAGCAGCAAATGGAGACCACCCAGAGCCTTGTGGACTCCTCTGTGGCCTTTGTCAACAAGACCGTGTGGGACCTCATGGTTGGTCTCATGCCCAAAACCACCACACACCTCATGATCAACAACGTGCATACACCGCCTCATGGGGGCAGGGGGCTCCTGTGGCACTGGGGAGGCAGGTGGCTGTGTTGGCCTGACAGAGATGCCAACCAGCCCTGTGGGACCAGGTCCAGGGAGAGGGGCACAGTCAAGACCAGAGCTGTCCCATAGAACTATAACGTGGAACTGGGCACAGTGGCCCATGCCTGTAATCCCAGTACTTTGGGAGGCCAAGGCAGAAGGATCACTTAAGCCCAGGAGTTTGAGACCAGCCTGGGCAACATAGTGAGACCTGGTCTCTACAAAAACATTTAAAAAATAGCTGGGCCTGGTGGTGGCATGTGCCTGTAGTCCTAGCTACTCAACAGGCTAATGTTGGAGGATCACTTTGAGCCCAGGAGGTTGAGGCTGTAGTGAGCAGTGATCTCGCCCACTGTATTCCACCCTGGTGACAGAGCTATCTCCAAAGATCCTATCTCCAAAAATTAAAAACTGAGTAGATAGGTGTCCTGGTGGCATGATAGGTCCTGGCTCCCCTCCCAGATCTGTGACCTTGGGCAGGTGACTTTTCCTCTGGACCTCTGTCCTCATCTGAGTGAGAAAATGTGGTGGGGAGGCAGGTCTTCAAGTCTAAGTGGTGTAGAAGCCACATCTGAAAAGCCATACTCGGGGCTCCAAGTCCAGCATACAGTACAGCAGGGCCTGGTGGGGTGGCCAGGGTGGCACAGGCATCAGGTCCCAACCTCCTTCCCTGTTTGCCCACTCTCAGACCAAGGAGTTCATCTTCTTGGAGCTGCTGGCCACCCTGTACTCACGTGGAGACAAGAACATGCTGATGGACAGGTCAGCAGAGCAGGCACAGCAGTGCAACGAGATGCTGTGCATGCACCACGTGCTGAGGGAGGTGCCCAGCATCATCAGCGATATCAACATGACCACCGTCAGCACGCCCATGGGGGCCCATGGATGACTCCTGGCTGCAGGTGTAGAGCGTCCAAGCTGGACACAGGTACCAGGGCTGGCCCCCACAGCCCCAAGGCCCCCCAGCCTCCATGGCTGAGCCTGTGAGCTCTTGGAACAGGTTCCATGCCCAAGCTGGCATACGTGGGTGCTCTCTGGAGCTGTCAGAGAGGGCAGAGAGCTCATGGTTTATGGTGTAGGAGCTGGAAGCTTAGAGGACATTGTGTGTGGGGCTGGACTGTGAGGCAGCCAGAGGCCTAGGAGCATCATCCTGGGCATACTGTACCTGTTGTGCAGTCTGAGTCATGCTGCTGGGGCAGGGCATCCAGCTCCCAGCCTGGGAGTGCCGAGAGCCAAATCCACTGCAGAGCAGGGGTGATAGTCAGGGTCCCACCTCCTCTATCTGTCAGAAATCCAATGGCAATCTAGGATAAAATTGAGAGTCCCATACACACAGTCATCCCACAACACACCTCACAGGCCAGGCAGGAACACACAGCCCCCTTCCCTCCCTCCCAGGTACCATCATAGCTGCTAGCGTGTGACTGAAGGCAGGGTCCCTGGCCCCCGCTGAAGCAGTACCGCCAGCCAGCGGGCTTACGCACCTTGGCCTGTTGCTCCTATGCGTCACCTGTACTATTCAGCCAAGGGGACCACAGTCCCTGCTGGCTCAGCTGAGCTCCACCTAGCGAGCCCACCCACCTCCCCTGCTACAGACTCTCCCTCTTCTGCTTTTCCCAACAGGAAGGGCCCAGCCTCACCTATGTGACCTGCAGACCCTGCAACCAGCTGAGGCTCCCCTCTTAGACTTATAAGTCTATGGCCAGTGGCATATGCCCTTCCTGCCTCCCCCAGGGTCCTTTCAGAGGGTTCTGGGCTTTCTGACCGCCCAGAGGGGCCTCTGGCACTCACTCCAGCCATTCATTCCTTTTAGGTTCACCATCCTGGGTCAAGCAGTGTTCCTTCTCTATCAGACCTGGCGACTGTTGTGTGGGCTTCTCCAAGGCAAGAGGTGGCCCTGAGCCAGTGGGTTGGAAGAGAGGGTGACTAGAGAAGAGGGAAGCCTGAGGGGGCTGAGCATTGGTCTGAATTGTGGGTGCACTGCTTGGGTGCCATGGGAGAGGCCAGTGTGTGTGGGCTGGGGAGGGCCACTGCAGCCCCCAGGCACTACCTGTGAAGCTCCAGCTCCTCCCTCCATCTTCCTCCCCTTTCCCTTCCAGCCCCTCTTTTCCAGGAACCTTGCCACACCTGCACCTGCGCCCACCCCTCCCCGGCTCTTCCACAGCTGCCGCAGCACACCCCTGCTCTGTGCTTGCCTCACCAGCTCTCTGCTCACTTTTCTCTCTCCTGTTTTCTCTCTGCTTTTTCTCCAACTGCCAGCTGATTGGGTCAGGCAAGTTCATCCTGACCTGAGAGCCCCAGCCCCACTTTGACCTCTAAACAGATCCTCCTCTTCTCGGAGGCCTCCCTTTCCAAGCCTGCCTGGGCGGGTGTCCTGTGACTTGACAGTGGCTCCCCAGCCCAAAGCCAGCCCCCTTCATCTGTGACTTAGTCTGTTGTAGTGCTGAGCTGACACATCCAGGTGTGACCGTTCCTGAAAACTTGTGCCCCTCTGTGGTATGCCCTGCCCTGTTCTATAAATATCCATAAATACTCTGTGGTATGCCCTGCCCTGTTCTATAAATATCTATAAATACTCTGTGGTATGCCCTGCCCTGTTCTATAAATATCTATAAATACTCTGTGGTATGCCCTGCCCTGTTCTATAAATATCTATAAATACTCTGTGGTATGCCCTGTCCTGTTCTATAAATATCCATAAATACTCTGTGGTATGCCCTGCCCTGTTTTATAAATATCTACAAATACTCTGTGGTATGCCCTGCCCTGTTTTATAAATATCTACAAATACTCTGTGGTATGCCCTGCCCTGTTTTATAAATATCTACAAATACTCTGTGGTATGCCCTGCCCTGTTCTATAAATATCTACAAATACTCTGTGGTATGCCCTGCCCTGTTCTATAAATATCTATAAATACTCTGTGGTATGCCCTGCCCTGTTCTATAAATATCTACATATACTCTGTGGTACGCCCTGCCCTGTTCTATAAATATCTATAAATACTCTGTGGTATGCCCTGCCCTGTTCTATAAATATCTATAAATACTCTGTGGTATGCCCTGCCCTGTTCTATAAATATCTACAAATACTCTGTGGTATGCCCTGCCCTGTTCTATAAATATCTATAAATACTCTGTGGTATGTCCTGCCCTGTTCTATAAATATCTATAAATACTCTGTGGTACACCCTGCCCTGTTCTATAAATATCTATAAATACTCTGTGGTATGTCCTGCCCTGTTCTATAAATATCCATAAATACTCTGTGGTATGCCCCGCCCTGTTCTATAAATATCTATAAATACTCTGTGGTATGCCCTGCCCTGTTCTATAAATATCTATAAATACTCTGTGGTATGCCCTGCCCTGTTCTATAAATATCTACAAATACTGATACATATATACACACACACACATATATATACACACACACACCTACACATGGCTGACCGCCTTGCCTCTAGCGCTGGGAATCAGTCACCGTGCTGTCCTTGTGGAGTCTTGTGGCCTAACAAGAGAAAGCTCTCCCCTGACATTGCCCCTCCAAAGTGTGCCACCTCCAGTGAGCCTCCCTGTCATGCCCGGCCTGTGGACAGCCAGCCTCCGCCATCTCTCCCACCCCCCACCAAGCATGGGGGAGCTGTGTACGCAGCCATGTGGCCTCTCTACCAGTCCTGCTGTCCCTCGGCTGAGAATCAAACCCATTTCTGGATGACGGGGAATGTGTCCTCTGCTGGCTGTGTTCTCTGTGGAGCTCAGGGAGGGAAAAGGCCAAGCCATTTCTAGGGTGCTGTTGGGAGTGGTGAAAAGGCCACACCCATTCCAAGGGACACTTTTCCTGGAAAGCCCCTGGAGTTTAGCTGTCTCTTATCCTGGGAAGCCGGCTCTGGCCACTAGGGTGCAGGGCCATGAACTCAGCCTGGAGGGAGCCTGCAGGGCAACCGGCACTCTGAGGGGCAGACAGAACAGGTCACCAGGTGCAGACAGGAGAGGGAGGCAGGGGGACAGAAGGGAAGATGCCTGGGGTGGATGGAAGTCAGTGCCCTTGGGTGCTGGTATCTGCCTTCCCGGCCACTGCTAGATCAGGCTTCTGAGCCTGTTGGCTGTCAGGGCTGGACTGTGCCCCATAGGCACCATGGCAGTCCCCGTGAAATCCACCAGGTGTCACCAGGCAGCATACAGGTAACAGGCCTGGAAGGTCCCCAACAGCCCAGCTGGACATGCTCAGACACTCTGGGCTCTTCGTTCAGTGGCACAAACTCCAGGACCCAGTGAGGGAAACGGGAACATACCAGGTTGAGCAGTATGGCTAAATCCATTTATTCCAGAATCAAAAGCAAAATAAATGGGAGTCGCATTACCAGGGAGCCACAACCTCATCCCCACCTCCTTCCTCTGTCCTATGCTATCAATAAATAAGTTTCCCAGATGCAAATAATGATTAGAACCTCCTCCCCATATGCCAGTTCCAACCTCCGCTAGGTACAATACAGGGGGCGGCCCTACTCCTGGAATATACAAAATGTTACACAGATACTATATGTACACTGGGGAAGGGGGGCCACCCCAGCAGCCCGTGCCCTCACCTGCTCTACACTTAGCCCCACTGTCCTGCCTCAGCTGCCTCTCTGAATAAGAAGACAGGAGCCCCCTGAGGGAAAAGTTGCTTTGGTGAGAGTAGGGAGGCCATCAGGCCTCCTCCAAACAAACCAACTCCACCAGCCTCTGGCTCTTAAATAGCAAACATCACCATCCAGAAATTTAAGGACTCGGCCCTGGTCAAGGTGGCAAAGGGTCTGTTTTTCACCCCCACCCCCATTAGACAGGGGTCTTGTCATGCTACCCTAATGGTAAAGGGGTGACAGGGAAGGGGTGATAGGAATATCATGGGGAGGAGACTCCAGCCCCGCTTCTCCAGGCTTATGCTGACAGGGGCCTGCTTTTATTTGTTTTTGTTTTTATCCCTTGACTTATTTTTTTAATCCTATAACTTCTTGTTCATAATAATTTTTTTAAACTTTTCATGAAACACTATTCTACTTTTTTTCACAACTTTTCCACATTTTTTATCCCATAACTTTTTCATCCACAACTTTTTTATCCCATAACTTTAGTTTGTGTTCTTTCAATAAACACACTTGCATAGTTACAATTTTGTAAAAATAAAAACCGATGATCTCATGCCAAGCGTGCCTAGCATTTGCACAGTCTCATACCTTTAATGCCATAGCTTTCAAGACACACAAAATTTTAAGGCAAAAACAGCCCCTTGCAACAATTTCCTAACTTATTGCATTGCAGTAGCATCACAGTAGCAGTCAATAATGGCACTTTAGGCAACAGTCTTTCAGTATTTCCATTATACATTCTGTTTACAGGAATTCATAAATTGGTAAAAGTCATTCTAAGAAAACTCGGCAAATAAAGCTTGGCATTGGAATTGGCATTTCTTTCTCTACTTTTCCTTCCCCCAGTTTCACTCTTTTAAACTACAGTATTCATATTTTAATATGCTTTAACTTATTTCAAAACATTAAGATAGTTACATTTTTGCATAGTTATATTCTTTTAAAATGATTCTTTAAGCCAAAGTTTTACAGAAACTATATTGTGGATAGAGCTGATTTACATTTTCACATTTTCTAAATTAGATATCAGCTTTGGTTGTGGAATTGATTGTTGTTTTTTTTTTTTTTCATTTCTGGGAAACCTATCAGGTTTAATCAAATACTTTAAAAATGGTTATATATTGCAATCTTTAAATAGGTATTTTAATTATTTACTTCGTACAGAAATTCATATTTATTCAGTTGAACTCACACTTTAAAGTTCTATGTTTCTGATAAACTCTAACCTTCTAATGTTGCCTTCTCAGCAAATTGAAAGCTGCCTTATACTGAATGAGGAAGAGAACAAATACTTGGCTGAATGAGGTATTGCAAAAGACTGCGTGCACTTTGAAGAAAAACTTAAGTTATTATCATACAATTTCTATTCTTTTTAGCTTTTTTAAAAATAAATTACAAAATACCTACACAAAGAGTGGTATTTCAGTTAATACAGTACATTTCTTTTCCAGACTGAATTCAGCCACATGCTGATTTCACCTAGGTACTGATAACACATTTTGTCAGTTTACAATGCTAACACTATCTGAAGGTCATTCTAGTCATTTATTTATCGGGTAATGAATGACTTGAACTAAAAATACTTTGAAATAATTTATCAGTTATCAGGTAAACCAGTTCAGATATAAAGAAAAACTGTTAACCAAACAACAATAACATGTATGATTTAACTCAACTCTAATAACAATTTGGAAGAGTCAGTTGAAGTCACAAGGACTAAATATTTGCACCCTTTCAGTGAATGCAGGCAAATCTATTATTCCATCTGTAAAATCATATTATTGCTCTTCTGTTAATGTCATATGTATAAAAGTATCATGAGGAAGCCAAATGCTAAAAATGGAGATGATCTAGTAACTAGAAATGCCCACCCCAGGGAACGCATATACATCTCTCCCTACATCCTAATAAAGTGATGTATTTTGGAACACAGACATTAGAACTTCATGAAGTTTTAGCTGTTGATTCTTTCCCAAGCATCATAAAGTTATGATTTAGGCAACGTATGACTGAAAAAATTCATTCATCATGTACAGACACATTAACATAAATACGGCACAAAATATGCCTCTAACTGAAACTGAGAGGTACAAAAACATAGTTCACTCTTTGTAAAGAACTTTGTGAGGAAACATAACTCTGTGATTGTATAGACACTTTTCCTCATAACACTTTGAGCTTCACAAACAGTAGATTGCATTGCAGTTTGTAAACATTTTAAGTTGCATAAACTTCCCCTTGATTTTCAAATGTAGTATACTACTGTCTACTAAAACTCCTTTTTGTTTCAACTAATACTCTCACATATATTGGTTTATAATAATGGTCGTTATTATTTTTAAAGTGTTTTTCATTCAAAGAAAAGAAGCAAATTCTTATGTCAGATTAACCAATGTGGTTGAAGAATAGGTATTAGCCAGAGAGGTCTAGATGGTAAAATCAATCTTCTAGCCTCAAAGAAGCTCCATGAACATAGAGGAATGCCAGGTGTCACACAGCTTTCCTTCACTCAAATTCATTCTTGACTAGAGCCTGTATGCCTGTTCCAGGGACATTTAAACTCTGAAAGGATTTCTGATGATCTTCACTAAATACATTAAGAAGAATATCAACCAGTGCCCTTTTGTGTACTGGGACATGTCGTCATGTGATTAAAACAGGTAACATGAACTCTGACGTTAAAATGTATTGTGGATATAAATGCTCTAAGCTAGAAAAGATTTTCCACATCCACAGTCAATGACGGGAGCCTTTCATTCCTCAGAAATAATCCCTTTTAGGTCATTGAGAAAGAGTCCAACCGCTGCAGCTCATGCTGCGATATCTTCATGAGCCCAGAGCACATACAAATCCTCAGGGAACTACCATAGAACCGCGCTCATTCCTGGCACCAGAACAAATGAAACACACTCTATCCTTCACACACCTGCCAGAGCAGGCCACTTTCCTCCTCTGTGAGATTTAAAAAGCTCCCCAAAATATTATTACTCCCATCCCCAATACACAGAAAATAGGGGAAAAGCTGTTTCCAGTTCTTGGCCTTTAAACAACTCTAAATGTCAGTACTCACGGGGGCATATTACAAAGTAAGAAACAGTGTGCACTTGAGGGCAAACCACATATTGAGCTAATGAAGAGGTCACTGTGATTAGGATTCGATCAAACATAATAGCAGAACATAAGCAGATTTTATCTGAATTCTGTAAAGAATATACATGCTGCAATAACATTTAAAAAGCATGGCAGCCTATTCCAAACCAGCAAGAATAGTTTTGTGCAAATAGTGGGTCTTTGTGTGTTTGAACTCCCACCACATAAGGGCAAACTCAATACGCATGCTAATAACCTACAATTATCAGATAAAAAACAAAAATGCTAAAGGATGCCAGAGTGAACATCAGGGAAAGAGCCCTCTCCCTTAACTTTTTATAAATAAATTTAAACTCTAAATTAGAAACACAAATAAACATGAGGGGCTCTAACATTCAAATGAAGTAAATGAATTGTGTAGGAGATTAACCACATTTCGTTGTTGTTGATTTTAAATTTCTTGACCAGCTCTCAGATGATGATGATGTTTATCTCCCTGTTCTCTGCTGCCCGGTAAAAGAATGGGACGCAGGGTTTGCTGGCCAAGCCTGAGTGCTCCTGGGTGTCCTGCATTACAGGAAGCAGCTGCACGATCTTCTGTGCAGTGGGGTTGGGTGCAGGCTCCACGCTGTCAGCCAGGCTCACCTCACAAAGATCTTCAGAGAGAGGGAGGCGGGGGTCTGAGCACAGTGCGAGCCTCCCCTGCTCCAGCCTGCCCACCCCGCCTGAGGGCTCTACTCACCACCCTGCTCCTCAACAGCCCCAAGCTCTTGGGGGGCTGGGGCCCCTGGAGCTGGCTCATCACCAAGGTTCTGTGTAGTGGGGAGGAATTTGTCATGCCCCTCGTGGTCGCCCACGAGTGGCAACACCAGCTCCTGCAGTTCCAACAGCTTCACCTGAAGGGAGGGGTGCTCAGCTGCCATGACTGAGCTGGCACCAGTGCCAACGCCCACCCCACCCCCACAGAGATATTGCATGCCCTCCACCTTCATCTCCTCCTCCTTCTGGGCCAGCCTGATGATGTCCTCCTGGTGCCGTGTGTTTGGTACTGCCCCATGGCTCTCATATATGGTGATGTACTCTCCTACAAGAAGACAGGGCTCAGACGCTGGGTCCCCTCCGATGGCCCCGCAGCTCCCCATGCGGTGTCCTGGATTTCTGCTTACTCATGCCCTCTCTTGCTCCAGAGAGCTGGATGAATCCAAGCTCTAGTTTTTCCACCTGCTCCTTCCTGTCCACCTTCTCCTTTGGGAGGTCCATAAAGCTGCTCTGGAGCCAAAATAATGGGGTCACATCTCGGGAGTGACCTGTCCTTCCCCATCCCCACTTTTCTTGGCCCATGCCAGGACTCGCTCACCTTCAGCTTCTCCATGGCCCCCCGCAGGGCCCGGTAGGTCTCCCCACACACAAACTCACCCCCAGTCCCTGGGGCCGGGGCCTCAGCCTCTGGCTCCTTCCAAGTCGAGGCCACCAAGTGAGTCAGGTGCGGGAAACACTGCCTTTGCACCTTCCACTGTCCACATAGCCGTGCCTGCTCCTCCTGGGCAGTGGCTCCAGTGGAGTTGAAAAATGCCACATGAAGGCAAGAGTTGAGTATTCTTGTAGGGGCATACACAAAACAAATGGGGCAGGGAGGTGGAGCACAGCCCCTTCCCTTGGGGTCTCAGAGAGTGCACCTGTTGGTCACAGGTGAAATGGTGTCTGACCACTGGCTCCCGGAAGGGGTGAGGGTCCAGAGAAATTAGAAGGTGGGGAAACCAAGAGCATGAGGGGGTCTGGGAGGGACCACAGAGGAAGGTGGCAAAGTGGGGCAGGGAAAGTCAGACTCACCATGGCCTCCTGGCTCTCCTGGTCCTTTGGGAAGCTTGGCATGAGCTGAGGCACTTCCTCCTCCTCACCATCCAGATGACCTCCTTCATCTCCTGTGGGGAGGTAGCCAGAGGGGTCCTCAGAAAACCCAACTAGGGAGGTATTGTGGGCCCACCTCTCCCCACCCTCACTGTGTAACCCTGAGCCAGCCCCTCCCCAGAGGGAAATGAGCTGCTGTTCTTTATTTTTCCTTTTAAGAACCAAGATCTTGCTATATTGCCCAGGAAGTCCCACTACCGGTCGGTGTGGGAGTTCTGAACTGCTCCCTTTCTGATCTGGGCCAGTTCACTCATCCTTAGGCAACCTGGTGGCCCCCTGCTCCCAGTAGGTCACCATATTCATGCCGAGTTTATTGCAGACACCCGGTTGGCATAATGACCAGCTCTTCTAAAGGTTTCTTCCAACCCCTCAATCCTGTGCTGCTGACAGTCCCCCCTTCCCCCTGGGGCTCTCTCCTCTTCCCCTGAGTGGTCTCCTGTACCTTCTCCAGGGAGAGCCATGAGGCTCAACTGGGCCTCTAGGTGTTGATTCTGCTGGCTGGCTGCTTCTACGTGCTCCTAAGGGAATAGAAAACGAGTGAGAAGGCACCGAAGTTGCCAGGTCTTCTCCCTCGAGGCCCCTGTCCTCAGCAACTCCAGCTCCTGGGTCCCCTGCAGCTTTGGCGGGCCATCTCAGCCACCGCTTTGCCCTGAGTTTCCTGCTGCTGCAGTTGGTCCATGAGCTGGGTCTGCAGCAGTAACTCCCTGTACAGCACCTCCTTCTCAGAGGTCAGCTGCTGATAGGTGGCCACGTACTGCTGCGGGTGACCCAGGTACTAGTCTCACTGCTGTGCAGACTCTGAGACTCTTGGCTCTTCAGCTCCAGCTGCAGGAAGGCCCTGGGCATGAGGGCACGTGGTGGCTGGTTCCAGATTCTGGGACCATTAATAGGGTAGTTAGGGCACTGTGGGGCTCTGTCACATGCCTGGGCCCCTGGACCCTTGCTCCAGGCCTAAGAAACTTCCTCCCTTGCCTAGTACCCCATGCCTTCTTCCCCACCTCAAATATCATTTATTTGGGTCCTTCTTCCCACCATTTAAACTGTAGGCCACAGACTTGTAGAAAAGTAGAGGGAGCCAACCACCATCTGCTAAGTGTGCTACAAGCCTAATGCTTTCCATGTATTCTCTCATTTAATCCTCAGCACCTCTGCAAGCAAAATGCTAACTTCCTTTTGAAGTTAAAGAAACAGAGACTTAGAGATGGAAAGTAGTTGAATGGTGACCAGAGAAACCAAGGCTCGAATCCAGTTTGAATCTAAGGAGGGTTTTTGTTTTGTTTTGTTTTGTTTTGTTTTGAGACAGTGTCACTCTGTGGCTGAGGCTGGAGTGCAGTGGTGCAATCTTAGCTCACTGCAACCTCCACCTCCCACGCTCAAGTGATTCTCATGCCTCAGCCTCCTGAGTAGCTGGGATTACAGGCATGTGCCACCATGCCTGGCTAATTTTTTGTTGTTTTAATTTTAGTAGAGATGAGGTTTTGCCATGTTGGCCAGGCTGTTCTCAAACTCCTGACCTCAAGTGTTTCTCCTGCCTCAGCCTTCCAAAGTGCTGGGATTACAGGCGTGAGCTACCACCCCGGGCATAAGGAACCTCTTATACCAGTCTCTTCCCCTATAATTGGGGAACTCCATGCCTCTAGCTGGAATGATGATGTCCAGACCTGGGAGGAGCCCAGGGCTACCCTCCTCTAAAATCAGAGGGCAGGAAGCAAGAAACAGGTATAGGGCTACCCTGGAGGGTGCTGAGGTCACCTTCCCTCCAGCTAGAGCTGCCTTTGGCCTGGGACCTAACCTCCCCAGAGGCTGGTGCCCGCCTCCCAGCCCATTTTGGATGGGGCAGAGGTTACCATCTCCTTCACCTCACTCAGCTTCTCCTGCAGCTCCTTTACTTGCTGCTCCAACTGCAGTGCGCTCTTGTTCTCATTGTTCTGGACAGAGAGAAGCAATCAGTGGCCATCCACTGCAGCTGGAGAACCCTGAACTTGGTGTCTGTCTCCCATGTCAAGGGGAAGGGTGGAGGCAGGTTAGAAAAATCATCCCCTCCCCCACAGCCATCAGAGCAGGGCCTGATGAGCTCTGGCTCACAGGTGCCTTTCAAAGTACCATGTCATGTGAGGGCTACACTGCCCCATTTTACAGGTGGGGAAACAAAGGCCTGGAGGGCTAGGGATGAAGGCAGGCTCCCCAGGTGGGGCAACCCACCAGATCTTTGAAGCTGCACTGTGGCTTGGCCAGCCGCTTGTCGAGCTTTTGGTTCTGGGAGAGTGCGAGCCTCTCCTGCTTTCGAAGCCTCTCCTCCTGCATTCGTAGCCTCTCCTCCTTCTCCCACAGCCTCTCCTCCTGATCCCACAGCCTCTTCTCCTGCTTTTGCAGCCTCTCCTCTTCCATTCGCAGTCTCTCTTCCTGCTTTCGCAGCCTCTCTTCCTGCTTTCGCAGCCTCTCACCCTGCTCCTGAAGCCTCTCCTTTTGCTCACACAGCCCCTCCTGCTCCCGAAGCCTCCTCTCCTCCTGCTCCCGGAGCCTCTCCTCCTGCTCCTGAAGCCTCTCCTTTTGCTCCTTGCTCAGGAGACTCAAGGCCTGGTTGTTTTCCACCTGGGATTGGAGTTTTCCCACCAAACTCTCCACCTCCTTCCTCAGGTGTTTGGCCTCATCTTGTAGCTGCTCCACCTCAGAGGGCCCTGCTGGGGGTGCTGGGGATGGGGGCTCAGCTGAGAAAGGAAGCAGACAATGAGGGCCTCTGGATTCCCCCTCCCACTCTCTCCCCCCACCAAAAAAAAAAAACCAAGCCTCCTTTTGATGCACAGCTCCTCTCAGGCTTCCCAAACTTGGCCTCACTGCTAATGATTCCTCGCACCCGATGGAAGCCAATTTCCCAGCCATGTCAGATAGAGAGCACTGTGGGTGGCTGACAACGGGCACTCCTCCCTCTTTGCTGATGGGGAACCTGAGACTCATGGAGATGACAAGACTTGCCGTCTCCTGGCACAGACCTCTTTCCCTCTGCCTCAAAGCCCTTCCATTCACCCACCTCCCTGGGGCATCCTAAGCCACCCCACAGCCCTCTGATGCCAGTCCTGCTCCCAGATCACACCAGCCCCATCTTACCTATCTGGGGTTTGAGTTCCGACAAGCTCCTCTCCAGCTCCTGTATCCGATGTATGTCACGCTTCTTTTCCTCCTTCAACATGCGAGCCTGCCCAAAGCACAGGGGTAAAGGGGCCTAGAGAGAGGGGCTGGTGGCTGGACAGGCTACCCTCTCCCTCTCTGACCCCACCTCCACAAAGCCCAGATCCATGACCACCTCTGGCTGTACTAGTCCCATGTTACAGATGCCCAGAAAGATCCAGTGACCCATCTAAGGTGGGGGCTGGAGGGTCAGGTCTCACCTCCACCGACATTTTCCGCATCCTCTCCTGCCACCGGGCCCTCTCTCCTTTTATATGTTGAGCATATTCGTCTCTCTCCAGCTGGACTTGTTTAAGTGACTCTGTCACCTGCAGGAATGGCCACAGAAGTGAGGAAGGGCTGTCACTGGTCCTCACCTGCTCCTGGCCACCTGGGGTCATCTTCCTTCCACATCCTTCCCTCTGCAAAGCCTCACTTGTGTCACGTGTGCGTTCAGCAGCGCCCGCTCCTTTAAGGTCTGCCGTAACTGCCGCTGGAGGACTGCTTCACTGCGGCTCGAGGACTGGATGGTGAAGAGTGAGAAGTTTTGATGTGGGAAGCCCGGGCAGTGCCCTTTAAAAGGGCTAGGGCGAGGCTCAATATACAACTCGGTCAGTAAAGATCAAGGCATTTCCAAGCCCGTGGCCTGGTTTTTAAAAGAACTCAGTAAAGTTGGAAGGGACAAGGAAAGAGATTGAATTTACAGCTGGCTAAGGGAGGCCCAGAGAGATCAGATAATAATGCAATTGTTATTTCTGTTATTACTACCAGTGTTTGAAACTTTATGGAGTGCTTCACCAGGTACCATGCTAACAATCCCATTTAATCCTCACAACCATCATCTGAGACAGTTACTAGGGTAACCTCTACTGCGTAGATGAAAATCATGGAGTGTTTGAGGTTAAGTGCTTGCCTAAGATCCCTGAGACAGAGCTGGGATTTGAACACCCAGGTCTATCCGATCCTCTAAGCCCATTTTTTCTTGCTATGGGTGGGGACACAGATAGAAAGGGGGAAATTAATCTTTTGTTCACTTTTTGAAAGGATGATACATTCGCATAGTTCAAAACTCAGAAGGTACAGAAGGGAAGTGTCTCCCAGCCACCCTGTTACTCTCTGCTGAGCTTTTTTACGAATGCTTACACTTACAGACATGTTTTATGTATATTATCATAGCACATACACACACACACACACACACCCCTCTCCTCTCTCTACAGAAATGGTGACATAGTAAAGGTCCTCTTCTGTACCTTCACAGTACAAGTACCCGATACCCCACCTGGGACTTGGCCAAGGCCACAGCCAGGTAAGGGCAGGGCAGGCACTTGGCCTCTGAGATCTGTGTCCAGTGCTTGCTCCCCACAGTGCCCCCAACTCACCCACAGCAGCTGACTCAGCCCCAGGCTGCCTCTAACAACCACACAAAAAAGCAGCAAGAAATGAGCATGCTGCCTTCTGGGCAGGACACTGCATCCTGCAGAAGGGACCTTTAGGCTCACTCCTGCATCTGGGAAGCCAGGCTGCCAGGGGATGGGGCAGCTGGTTGGACTCACCCTGTCCTCTTCCCGCTGCTGTGTACACACAGCAGAGAGAGCCCGCTCCAATTCTTGAATACGCTGTAAGGAGCATTGCAGGCGGCCGGCCAGATCCTTGGACTCTTCTGTAATGAGAGAGGTTGAGATGGGGCCCAAAGGAGTCCCCCTAAAGTGCCAGTGTCAAAGTGCCAGGGTGAAGGATGACGGGGTGCCCAGATTCCCACCTTCGAAGTGTCTGGCGGCACGTTTAGTATGGTAAAGGGTGGTCTTCAAGTCTGCCTTTTCCAATGTGAGGATGTTGATTGTCTGGAATTGAACGTTTGGGAGAAAAGCCAAGCAAGTGCTGAAAGAGACGGAAAGAAACATTCTCCGGAGGACAGGAGAAAACTCCCCACCCTCCACTCACCTCTAACTGCTCCGTCTGTGCTTTGTGTATGTCATTGTTTGCTTTCTTTTCCTGTAGGAAGAGGAAGACAGAGCTCTTATCCGGGGGAGGCAGAGATGGCACAGCAAGAGAGATGTCCCCAGCATGCCACCAATGCCCCAGGACAGGCACACCCATGGGACCAGGTTATCAGGGACCCTGTGGGCAAGGGGTGGAATCTGAGGAGTGAGCCTTCTTCCCCAGGCTGGGAGTGGGTGAGACGAGACTGGCACCTCTACATCTGAGTGCCCCCCAAACCCAGCAGTCATGTTGTGTGCAAACAAAGAAATCACGTTACTTCTTCCAGCTGATGTTCCACTTGTTTCTTCTGTTGTTTCTGTGTGGAGAGTCAAATTCAGGTGACTGAGGGGGGCCCCCTCAACTCTATTTCCCAAGCCAGGAAGTTGTAGGCAGGGACCAAGAATGGATTTTAAAGGCAAAGTTCTCAGACCCAATGGCGACACGAACTGGTCAACTCTCCTCAAGCTCCCAAGGACAGAGGATTTGGGTCTTTGTTGGTTTTTGCCCACAGCCACAGAACTCAAAGTCTGAATCTGGATTATCTCAAAAGGACAGTAACATAAACCTCTAGAGACGGAGTCTGAGAAAGGTCCACCCTTCTGCCAGCTTGTGATTTAGAAAGATGTGTTCATTTGACAAACATTTACTGAGCACATACAGGCCAGGTATGGGTCTTCACAGCAGATATACAGGATAGAAAAGGACAGACGGGAGCCCTTGGCCCTGAGGTTTCCATTCTAGGGGCATTTCAATCTCGGACTGTCGGAGCTTAAAGAGATCTTTGATACTCTCTACCTCCTCTGGAAACACGAGCCCAAGGAGGAGAGGTGGCCTGTCCAGACTCAAAGAGCAACTTAGGGACTGAGTCAGGGCAGAAATACGGGGCCCCTGACAACCCTCACTTTCCTTAGAGGCGACAACCCCAGGGCGTATGTGGCAAGGACTGGAGCAGGGATGTCTGAAGCAGAGAGTCAGCAAAGAGGACAGTGACAGAAGAGCCATGCTGCATGCTCCTTGCTCTGGGGTCCCCCCAGGTGAAGCCTGGGTGCTTCAGCTCCCCATCTGCCCTTTTGACCAGGGGCCCTCAGCCCCTTTCTTCAGAGCCCCAAGGGGAAACTAAAACCCAGGATTGGCAGCACGGAATCAGGGGACCCCATTGGACTCTTACCAATGATTCTATGTTTTCATTTAGTTGATTGATTGTTACGGAGCTTGAGTCCAGGGCTACTTCCAGTTCTTGGTACCGGCTCTGAGGCGCATGCAGAGAGGATGAGTAGAAGGACGATTGCAGGGAGAGGTAGAGAGAACAATCATTAGGGCTGGGGTGTGTCTCAGCTGGCATAGGGGCACCCAGCCCCTGCCATGAGAGGAGCTTGGAGGGCTGGCCTGCAGGGTCACTGCACCTCGGCCCAGGGCCTCTTACCTCCAGACCCTTCAGGGTAGCAGATGATGCAGGGGTAATAGAAATTCAAAAAAAAAAAACTTACATGGGATACAGTTATGGATATCGAGAAAGTTAAAAAAAAAAAAAAAAAAAAAAAAACCAGCAAGGAGCTGGGCACAGTGATTCATGCATGTAATCCCAGCGCTTTGGGAGGCAGAGGCAGTTGGATCACTTCAGGTCAGGAGTTCGAGACAAGCCTGGCCTACATGGTGAAACTCCATCTCTACTAAAAATACAAAGATTAGCCTGGCATGGTGGCAGATGCCTGTAATCCCAGCTACTCCGGAGGCTAAGGCAAGAGAATCACTTGAACCCAGGAGGCAGAGGTTGTAGTGAGCCAAGATTGCACCACTGCACTCCAGTCTGGGTGACAGAATTGAGACTCTGTCTCAAGAAAAAAAAAGAAAAGAAAAGAAAAAAGAAAAGGAAAGTAAAAAAAAAAAAAAGCCCCAAATCCCACATGCCTGTTCTGTACATTATTCCCAAACTACTTTTAAACTTTAAGGTATGTCTCACCATTTCCAAGATGATCAAAAATGCAGGGAAGGAAAAAACCCAATCAGTCAAGCAGGAGAAGCAGCAGACATAAACAGGCTGAAGGATAATGCCAGCAAAATAAAAATAAGCCAGAGGCAAAACATCCCCCAAACCAGAGAAGCCTCAGGGGCATGCACAGCTGGAGACAGTAAGCCAGAGAGGGGTCCTGGCACTGCCTCACCTTCCACTTGTTCAATGGGGGAGCGCTACCCCACTGGAATGGTGAAGGTTGGACACCAGCACCTTCAGAATGTCCTGAATCTACAGGAGGTGAAAAGGGAAAAACAAGGGCAGAGGGAGAAAGACAGAAGTGGCTTAGAGAGAAACAAGAAAGTCAGGGTAGGAGGAAGATGTGGGTTCAGGAAAATGAAATGCTGAAGAAGAACAGAGGAGATTAAAACCATGGCCTGTGCCATTCTTCCAAGTGACCACCTGCTGCCTTGCCAGGGGCAGGAACAAATAGATGGAAAAGTCCCCTGAGCGATGCAGTCACAGAGTAGAGTCACCTGACCAATGCAGCTCTTAATATGCTCACTGGACCCCTCTCCTCAGGCCCAGGGCATGGGCGATGAATCTGGTAAAGCTCTAGACCTCCACCTCCATTAAAAAAACCAGACTCCTGAGTAAGGGTTCACTTGAACTAAGGGGGCTCCAGCTAAAAAGCAAGTTTGAAAGACACTGATGTTGTCCAGTATCATCTTACAGAGGAGGAAACTGAGGCCCAGGGGAAGTGATTTTTCTGTGGTCACCCAGTAGGCTGGTGGCAAGTTAGATCTTCTCTTACTCCTAATGCCTGGGGCTTTCCTCACCACACACTGGGGCCCTTTCAGTGACTCCTAAAGGGACAGGCTGATGGCAAGTGTCTGAACTCATTGGCCCAGCATCCCTTGAGACTGGGGATGAGGAAAATCAAGCAGTAATGGCCATTTCCTGGGTTTCCTGGGTGTCCTGGGTGTTTACAGCGGCCAAGTACTATGGATTAACATAAAAACAACAACAAGGAATCTCATTTAATCTTCAAAAATGGAAGTCAAACAATACTACCCCTACTTTACAGATGTGAAAAGAGAGGCCCAAAGAGCTCAAACAACTTGCCATAAGTCAGATCCCTATCACATGGAGAGGCAGGATTCAAACCCAGAATTCTTAACCAGTACCCAACAAACTCAACAATTACCCTCTACTGCCCCTTGGGTGCCCTTTCCCGAGAAATCGGACCAGCCAAGACTCACATCCCCAGGTGAGTGGCAACCACCAGAAGTGGTTGTCTCAGGGCTACTGCCAGTATTTTTCTTTTTTGTCTTCACTCCTGCCGGAACACCAGGGCTGTTCCTCTGCTGATATTCTTTTAGCTGTGGGAAAGAAGAGCAGTCATACTCATGAGGACTACCAGCCCCTACAGCCACATCCTCCTTTACAGTTTTTGCAAAATACTCTTATACACCATCTGATTTAATGCCACCAACAACTGCACAAGGTGTGTCACAATCACTTAGTGACTGAGAGGGATTGATATTATGGCTAAAAAACAAGGGGGCGGGGGCAATAATGGAACTTAAACTCAGTTTTCTGACTCCAAGCTCTGGGGTTTTCCATGAATCAGCAGCTGCCAGGGACCAAAACCAGAGGCAGAGGTAGAAAAATAAACATTAAGTAGTCAAGAACTGCACACTGTGTGGTTTAGAGTCATACATCCTCACATGTCTGTTAGTGTGAATAAGTACACCAGTATCTCTCAAACTTTTATATCAATGTGTCCTCACGACAAAGGCAACTTTTTTGTTAAATCTGGCAATTTATCAGAAAGAGGACAACCCAAGTCTCATTTCAAAGAAAAGTCTGGTGTGCTCTTAGAAACCTATGTGACTGTCATCCCTAAGTACATTAAGGATTCTTCCTCTCTCAAGAAAATCAAGGGAAACTGATGCTTCAGAAAGATCTCCCACATTTATCCTGTGGCACTCAAAGTACCGAAGTTGAGATGATATAAGGAAGACTCAAGCTGTTAAGTTCAGTTTTCCAAGATCTATTCCATAGAAGATGAGCAAATGTCACTTCAGAGACCACTGACTGAAGTGCAGTCTGGTCCCAGAACCATGGAGAATTAGAACATGAGGTGGAGAACTCAGAAAAAAAGTTAAAGTCTCTCTGTTGAGTAGAAACCTGGGAGAAAACCCAACCCAACCCATTCTCCCATTGCCACCCAGAGATACTGCCAACATTTTGAGCTCATAGGCAAAGGGTAGGCTTTTCACACTGTCAATGTCTATGTGACGGGAGTAAGGCAGCCTGAAACCTCTGCCTCTTAGGTCCCATACTCTTCATTCCCATTCCAGCTGGAAATTTGTGCTGTGACCAGAGAAACCAAAAATTGGGTGAGAACGGTTAGGGGACTGGGTTGTAAGAGAAAAGGCTGGTCTTGCAGCAGTAATGACAGTTCATAGGGGGATTGTGACATCACTACATTCCACTCCTCCTGGGGGTGGGGGGAACCACACTAGTGAGATGGCTGAGTCATTCTGATCCATGATGGTGGAGCAGGATATAGGCCTGGGACCCACGTCCTTGGAGATGCCAGCCCAAAGAGTGCAGGGAGATCGGGCTTGGGTCAGCAGGAGGGGAGAGTAGAGTCTGCAGCAGGGAACCCCAGGAATCACCAGTTCAAAGTCACCCAGGGATGAATGGCATTGGGGGTCCTGGGGCTGGGGGACCCACATCCTTGGAGAGGTGAGCCCAAAGAACCCAGGGAGGTTGGGCTTGGGGTGGCAGGATGTGAGGACTGAGTATGGAGTGGGGAGCCCCAGGAGTTGCCCACCCAAAGTCACCCTGGGGTCATTGGTGAGGGCAGGGGCTGTGCTGCTTGCTGAAGGAGTGGGACTGACTGCCAGGACTTTGGTGGGGGGAGCCCAGAGGTGCCAGGGTTGGGGTCCCCAGTCCAGTGTGCCTCAGGAGTAGTATAGACTCTGGCTGTGGTCTTGTCATTGGAGGGGATCTCTGGCTGGATTTGGATCCACGACCTGGTGCTTTTTACCTTTTTCTTGGCTGCTGCCAATTTGCTCTCTCGAGTTTCTTCTAACATCGCGGGGTGGGGAGGGAGGCAGGGTTGGGGCCACATCAGGGAACACCTCCAGTCACCTACCAGTCAGCTGTGTGACTGAGCCAGAGGAGGCGTAACCAGGGCCCCAATAGAACACAGAAAAGGGGCGTGGCCTTCATGCTCCAAGCCCATTGGTCAGTGAGAAAGATAAAAGGGAAAGGAGGCATGGCCAGGCAGCAGTGTGTCCATAGGAACCTGTGGCATCACAAGGGAAGCTGCCCATGCAACTGCTGTCCCCGCCCACTTGGGGCAAGGGGTGGGGCCTGCTTACTCCGGGAGAGGGGACGGGCCGGCTTTTGCTTTAAAACTTTAAAAAATATATATGTTTATATTTATATATTTGTGTGTCAGTGTGTGTGTGTCTACGTGTTCCTCGAGATCTGTCTTCATTATCCAGCTTCTATGCATGGTCTATGATTTTGGCCTACATTTTTCATCTTCAGATGGAGTACAAGAATTATTAGTATTATCTCTATTGAGACACAAATCCTATAGAAATGTAAAATTCATAGTATGTCTGATGATTCATGTAGCAGACTATATTATCCAACATTCCAATAAGGTAAAATACTCAAGTAATTCTCTCTTTTAAAACATTTCTCTTATTCTCCTACAATGTTAAGATTTTTTTAAAGCAAGAAACATGTCTAATATCTCTAAAAACACAAAGCTTTTGGGTCGGGTGCAGTGGTTCACCTTAGTTCAGGAGTTCAAGACCAGCCTGGGCAACATGATGAAACCCCGTCCCTACTAAAAGTACAAAAATACCCAGGTGTGGTGGTGCGTACCTGTAATCCCAGCTACTCAGGAGGCTGAGGCAGGAGAATCACTTGAACCCAGGAGATAGAAGTTGCAGTGAGCCAAGATCAAGCAACTGCACTCCAGCCTGGGCAACAGAGCGAGACTCCGTCTCAAACTAAACTAAACCAAACCATAAAATAAAATAGAAAAATACCAAACTTTCAATTTAATAAGCACTCAAAACTCTTTACCAGTTTAAAGCAAATACAAGGCCTCCTTTTCTAGAATCACTGGCCTCTCTAAGCCTTGCAAATGAAACTGATTTTCTCACTTGATCCTTGGCTATGACTTGCAATCATGAAAATCAAGAATTGTGTTATGTCACTGTGTATTGCTACCTGAATTCCACACTATGCTGGGATCAAGGGTTGAATCTTTCATGATTTGCTCCATAATCTCAGCTTCTTATCCCACACCAAACTAAGCTTTTTTCTAGAGTTCTACCATTTACAGTTAGTAGACAAGAGGGTTCTCAATAATGTAGTCTCCGGACTAGCAGCACCAGCAGAACCTGAGGACTTTTTATAAGTGCAAATTCTCGGGCCCCACCCTGGACCTGGTGAATCAGTAACTCTGGGGTAAGGCTCAGCCATCTGTGCTGCAATAATCCCTCCAGGTGTTCAAGAACCTCTGGCATACAACAGGTAGAAAAACGTGTTTCCTTCTGTAGGTCCAAAGCCAGGGAAACCATATGTTCTGTCTTGATATGAAACAATGACATGCAATTAAAAGACATAAATCTCCCTCCTGCTCCCACCCTCCATCCAATGTGTTCTATTTTTATGAGTTAAATAAGAAAACAAGTGGCAATCAGAGATGCAGTCTAAAAAGTATATTTACAAATGTCAGTTCTCATCCAGCCTGATCTCATACAACACCATTTATACCCTCTTACCTCTCAAGTTTTAAAAACATATCTTCACAATGTAAGTCACAGGCACACTAGCAGTTCCATAATAAAACACCAAGTAGATTGGAATGTCCAAATTTACTAGAGAAGAAAAGTGGAATCAATGGCTATACTTTCAAATTGTAATCAACAGGAAATATAAGTTTTGAATTTTTTTCACCTTCGTACTTCCAAGTTAATAGAATTAAACCAGAATACTCCATTCTTTCACAGCCTCTAGCCAGGCAAAATCTTCCTGTATTGCTTCTCACTTTCAATGGATATAAAGCAGAGTCCTCCTAGGCACATTTTATATACCTGCAAAGATGCAGAACTAAACACTTCCATCTGTTCAATATTCAAACAAAAGACCTGTAAACCCTGGATGGTGAAAGTAATACTTCAGCAGTAGCACCAAAGCCTCAAATATGAAAAGATACCAAGAATGCCACTAGCAAACAAAAGGAGCTCAAGGCCGGGAGCAGTAGTTCACGCTTGTAATTCCAGCACTTTGACAAGCCAAGGTGGGAGGATTACTTGAAGTCAGGTGTTCAAGACCAGCCTGGGCAGCATAGCAAATTCACATCTCTATAAAATTTTTTTAAAATTAGCTGGGCATGGTAGTACACACCTGTAGTCCTAGCTACTTGGGAGGCTGAGGTAGGAAAACTGCTTCAGCTCAGCAGTACGAGGCTGCAGTAGCTATGATCATGCCACTGCAGTCCAGCCTTGGTGACAGAGCAAGACCTAGATAATTACAGTCTGTCCTGCTCCTATTTACATTAAAATCACTAAGTTAAATGCTTTCAATCCGCAGGATAAAAATTAAGTGAAATATGACTTTGGAGGTTGGCCAGAAAATAGGCAATGGAGAAACAGACACTTCCCACAAAAATAAAAATGGCCAATAAGCATATAGAAAAGATTCAAGGCTGGGTGCGGTGGCTCACGCCTTTAATTCTAGCACTTTAGGAGGCCGAAGCGGGTGGATCATCTGAGGTCAGGAGTTTGAGACCAACCTGACAACATGGTGAAACCCTGTCTCTACTAAAAAATACAAAAATTAGCCAGGCACAGTGATGGGCACCTGTAATCCCAGCTACTTGGGATGCTGAGGCAGGAGAATCGCTTGAACCCAGGAGGCAGAGGTTGCAGTGAGCTGAGATCACACTGTTGCACTCCAGCCTGGACAATAGAGCAAGACTCCACCTCAAAAAATAAAAAATAAAAAATAAAAAAAAATGTTCCAAAGCACTAGAAACGAAACAAATGTAATGAAAACAATGAGATTTTCTGCTTAAATACCAGCAAAGAGGACAAATGGAAGGGGGACACTGGAGCTCCGCCCTTGTTGGTGGGAGTATAAACTGAACCAATTTTTTCTGCAGGATAATTTGAAAATTTCTACTAAAAATCTTAAAACTGTTTTATGTTATTTTCCTCCAGAAATTCTACTTCTATGAATTCAGCCGAAAAAGCTTGCTTGAGTTCATTAAAATATATATATAAGAAAATTTACTTCAGGGGTGGCAATGATTAACTTAATATACATCAAGCTTTTAAAAATGTTGATGACAAGGATATATTTACTGCCATAGAAATATGCCCAAAACATAGTGACAAAAGACTATATATTATGATTCTACTTTTTAAAATGTTTATATGCATACAAAAGTATAAAAAGCAACAAACCAGAATGTTTTGCGTGGCAAAATTAAATACTTTTCTTAATATTTTGTCTTCCAAATTATTACAAAAAGAATGTGATTTTCTTTATAATCAGGGAGAAGTATTGTTTTCATTTCGTTATATTTAAATTTCTTTTCTTTTACTTATTTTTTCTCATGTATGTATCACATGTACTCTAGAGAGCTTGAATCCCTACCTCTTGAGGTAAATCAGACCATTTCTGTCTCTGTCAACTTGCCTTTCTTGGACATTTCAAATCAATGGAATTATGCAATACATGCTCTCCTGTCTGGCTTTTATACTTAGCTAACGTTTTTGAGGTTGGTCCATGACATATAATAGGTTTTGGTAATTTGTTCCTTTCATTACTGAGTAGAAGTCCATTGATGGATATACCACATTTTGTCAGCAGAGAGCATTACAAACTTCGATATCAATTTCCTGTGGTCTAAATGAAACCCTTGGAACACAGGACTTACAGGGAAAGCTGCTGTGCATGTCAAAATAACTACTTAGCAGAACCAGCTTTGTCATCAGGAGCCTGAACCGCTGCAGAAAATTTTACCATTTTGCAACTTCCTTTTTACAAGCAACTTTTGTGCTACTACAAATCAGGACTTTTGAAGCATCTGATACATCCATCGAATAAGTATGAGCGTGTGTCTGAGTGGACAAGTGAAACCATCTATGCTATACTGCATATTTTTTCCTGCCCCAGACTGGACCAGGGAATCTCTCAGCTTTCTAGAGTACCCTGTCTCCACTGACACAGCTGAACAGTATTAAAGACCATACTTCCTTTGTTAGGGAGATTTGGAGGGGAGGCCCAGCAGCAAGGGTGGAGAGGAAAAAGAGAGGGGAGCTTGTGGAACAGGAAGCCCCCAGGGTCCGCGCATGGCTCCCCGCTGTTGAGGATGTTGTGGATGGGGAAGTGCTGATGGTGTCCTGAGGCAGCCTAGCACCTCCACTGGGCCCAGAAGGTCTTGACTTTGGACCCTTACCCATGTTCCAGAAGTGTTTAAAAGTTGTTTTTGCTTTTGTTCTTTTCCTAAATAATCATTACTTGGTAGTTAGTTATTAATCTTTCTTTGGGAGGGGGACGGGGCTTTAAAACTGAAGAACATAATTTTCATTAAAATATAAAAAATGGAAAAAAGTTACTTTGTAAACAATTTGCTATACAAACCAAATGGGAGCTATTGAGAATCTCAATAAAATGTTAAATGCATTTGCTGCTGTTAGAAGAAACAAAGAAAAAATTTAGAAGAAATAAAGAAAAAAATGCATTTGCTGGCAGTAGTACCATTTGCCTAAGGTTGGGTCACTGTGTCATCATACTGTGGTGGGGGTATGTGTCGTGTATATGTGTGAAACTTTTCATCTCAGGGTAGGTCATAATCTTAGCTGCAGTTTTCCTTCCAAATAGGGTTACAAAGTAGTAAAACATGGACTTGGAAGTGACAGACCTGAGTGAATCAGCACAGCTTAAAGAAAAATCCAATAAAACTAACTTTTAACAATCCTGAGGTTGGTTTTTGAAACAGGTACAATTATTTACTCTAAGCATCTGGTTATGATCTTGAGTCAATAATACATACTGTCGTGACCCTATTTTTTTTTTAATGGAAATAGACGTTTCATCCAGAAAACCCCGAAACACTGACTTTTTTTTTTTTAAGACAGGGTGTCACTCTGTTGCCCAAGCTG